TAATTCACATCCTTGGGATATTATTTGTACATGGAATATTGTAAAGATTGATCTTATTCTTATTATAAGTGAAGTTAAAATGATTTTAAACTCTGCTGCATCTCCCATCTGTGGATTCACATTCCATCCCATCTTTTTGTGTTCATTATGACAATTCTTTACTGAAAGAGAAACAAACTTAAAAAATTAAATTAAAGGACTGTATTTGTATTTTCCACTTGAAACTGGACATTTTAATCTATTGGACAATCACTATCTATGTGCATCATATCTGTATCATATCCAAAAGCAAAAGATATAAAATACAAAAATACATAAAACAGTAGCCAAAAAACCACCTAAACAAACAAACTACAAACAAATATGTCTTTGCTTTGTTTCTTCACAATATCTTAAAATGTTATCATTGTACATGTTCTGGTCTTACCACAAGTATCAGAAAGTCAGTATAACTCACCACTATGTACCACAGACCCTTATAGGACATTTATTATATTATGAAGCAGATTTAAAAACAGCTGGTGTTGATGGAAGTACTGCAGGAAGTTAATAAGAGTCCTCTAAGAGTCCTATAGAAACATTATAGTGACTTCTCTCCTAATTGATCATATGAGAAATGTGCATCATGTAGAGAAAAGGGCAGGTCCTGAGCAGGTGAGGATCAAAGCCCTGTCATGGCCTTGGCCTTCAACTCCTCCCATCATGTCTCACACTCACACACAGTCTCATGCCTGAATGTTAGCAGTGTTGAGAAGAGATGGAAAGGCATGGCTCTGGAATATACACCGTGGTGTTTACATAGGCCCTGGTGTCGTCAGAGCTGCCATAATACATTCTTCAGGAGGAACAGATCTGGTCTTATGGGCCCCGGTCTCTCTGGGAGTGGACCTCGCCAGCGTCTGAATGAGCTCAGTGTACAGCCGGCCACCAGCAAGGCTCACGCACAACTCTGCTGCTAATGAAATGTCACTTAGTCCAAACACCCAGCTCAGTCCTGAAGAGACACTCCCTCCAGGTTTCAAACACTGTTTAAACTGTTTGAAGAAAATAACGACTTCTCTGACAGTTTCTGACTCCAAAAATCTATTTTGAAATTGTGTGTAGTAAGCCGAAGAAGCTGGAAACAGAAATGTGGAAAACTCCAGTCAGATATCATATTTTCAAGTTCAAGTAAAATGTGTTGTTCATGACATACAAACATAACTGATTGAATGTTCCTCTGAGAACAAAAGCAAAAGCAAAAGATGGACAAGACAAACAAGACAATGAAGCCAACAAAAAGCAGCTAGCACTGGTGCCAGAGTTACTGAGAAATTTTAAGTAAAAGTAGCTAAAGCACAGTATAATCCATTAAATGTAAAATCCTACATTCAAAATCTTAGGTAAAAGTACAAAAACTCCGATAAGCAAAATGTTCTTTGAGTATCAAAAGTAAAACTGTTCATTAAGCAAAATGGTCCTCTTCGGTGTTATATATAGCATATGTGGCAGCATTTTATGTTGTCAAGGAGGAGCTAATCCTCAACTAGTATGATGGTGCTGAAATAAATGTAGTGAGGTAAAAAGCACAATTTTGCCTCTGAAATGTAGTGGGCAGAGGTAGAACAAACATGGAAAAACTCATTTTAAATACACATTTTAAAATAAAGTTATGCCCACATGTACACTGAGGTGGTTACTGGTTGCTGTAATTATATATGAACCAACAGGCTACTTTAAGTACGGTACTTGAGTAAATGTGTAAAAAAAAATGTAAATTAAAAAACAAAAAGTTAAATTTCACCACTGTTAGCAGAGGTCTACATAAATGTGCTGCTGCACATAATATAATACATATTTTAAAAATCAAATAATAGAGAAAAAGCTATGGCCGCTGTTGCTCAGGACATCGTCATTTAATCATAAAGCTGTCTTTTATTTTTAATTTTTAAAGAAAAACACTTTGAACGACCTTTAGCAGTTAGCAAAGAAAGTAAATTTTCATGTTGTCCTGGTCAGACGTCAGAATTAAACAACATATATCTTACAAAATGCATGTGGCCTACGCAACATAATGAATATACCGGTACAACAATACTACAATAAACATCCTTAAAGATAATGCCACATTATAATGTGGTAGTAAGCGTCAATCAGTACTATATTATTAAGTAACAAACAAACACAGTTTTGATTCCTGCATGTTGGGATTCTCTGGAGAAGAAATCTTCCTGCTGTTTCTGTGATTTCACATTAAGCCTCAGAAGTTACATAAACTTCCCCTCCACTGCAATTTGTTCAGGTTGTAGAAATTGTGTTGGATTTCCTCAGAAAAGTTTGCAGGAGCTTGATGAATCTGTGGTGAGTGCCAGAGCTACCTGCCAACATGCAGACAGTTTGTCTCAGAGTATCTGTGCTGTTTGGGCTGTTGTCCAACTGTCTACGAGTCTGTGTCAATTTTATCTTCTGCTTAATCAGCACTGTGTGTGTTTTATTAGATTTTATTGACAGTGACCAAACAACCCAACAACTATCATCAGATATCTTCCCCTTCTTCCAACAGAGCCCACATGAATACAGAAATCTTTCCTGTCAAATAATCAAAACTGTAGTTTTCAGTTCCTTTAAGATTTGAAACCAATTTTCAGCAGTTGTGGATGAAGTATCAGATCATCACTCATGCATTTGTGTAAAACAGGATTTTATTGTTGTAGTTGTTCGAGGTTGAACTATTTTGTTTCTGGCTGCAATTAATGACTTTTTTTTCATTCTGCTGATTATTTATTTCCAATAATCAATTGTAAAAAGTTTGAAATAGTGAGAAATGTTGTCACAATTGCCCAGAGCCCAAAGTGACACCATGTTTGATATGTCAGTCTAAACCTCAAAACAATTAAAAATACATGCACAAATACTCAAAAGGAAACTACAAAGGATGCTTTTATTTATTTATTTATTGAGCATTCATTTATTTTTATATTATTTCTCTTTATGTCAGAATTAGTCCTCCATACTAGTCCAGAAATAGTAATTGTTTTATATGTAGCAGTGATGAAAATTAGAAGAACTTTCTCTCCCGTCATCAGTAAAAGGATGTGATCTGAGAAGTTGAATATAAGGCCTTTAGGAAAATAAAGAATTTTATCATAAAGATGACATCTTTATGGTGAACTTCATTCTTAATGTTCTGTCTGATCATGATGCACAAACTGTAATCATATTTACTAGTATTTTTCTTTTTTCAATTTCAGGTAAAATATGATAAGGTGGCTTGTGTTGCTTTCTGTGTGTCTACACGTCATCGCAGCGTCATTTCATAACGTTTATGAAGGGCACTCCTTTATGGGTAAGAAGGCATATTTTTGAGGTGCATCTAGTTATTTCCTACATTTACTGTACGCTTTTTCTCAAATGTTGGTCGAAACGTCGACAATAAAACACTTGAGCTCAGTGTGCAGTCATCTTGACGTCAGTAGATGTTATTGCCATGACTAGCACTAAGGCTGCCCCCAACTAGAGATTTTCCTAGTCAGCTAGTGGTCGTTAGTTCAGTCCATTTATGATATGTATGTATTTTTGGGGAATCAGAAAATGGTGTGTTCCAGGGCCGAGAAAGAATGTTATAAATAACATTGTTAACACTGTGCTACATTACAGAGGAATACAAAACCGTAATTCTGAGCCTATAAAATGTAAATTTTACAAACGAAGCCAGCCACCTGTTATTGACAAGCAGTATTGATTCTGAATGTGCAACCAGCAAGGAGACTGAACATTTTGTTAATTTATTTCAACACACAACACGGGAATAAATAACTTTGAACTAGTTCCCGGTGTCATGCCGAAAAGTGTGATCGTCTGCCGTCTGCTGGAGCTGTATTGCCCAGTCTCTTCAATCACCTTCTGGCAAGTGAAACAGCCTACTGCATTTTATGGGTTGTATTGGCCATTTAAAGGTATTTTAAGAGGTAAAAGTACTAAGTGAGCTATAATCTGTCAAATATAACTCTTCTGAATGAAATCAACTATTTCAGGGCAGAAAAAACCTTTCAGTCAATAACAAAAGGCGTGAAAGTGAAATACTGCATTTTATGAGTTGTATTGGCCATTTAAAGGTATTTTAACAGGTAAAAAAGAGTGGATTGGTTGGTAGGCCAACACAGCAAGTAAAATAATGCAGAGTCATAAGTAATAGCAAAATGGTCTTCATTTTATATCTAAGTTGGCAGTAAGTCGTGTTAATTAGGCTACAGTCCGTTTTCCAAATATAAACAAAGATATTACATAGGCAACAAAACCCTGATACTTTTTGTCCCAGCTCTAACAACAAGGGCAAGCTCCTGAATAGAGTTTTCCTCTTTTACCTGCGCCTAACTGACTGATTAAAACTTTTCTGAATAAGAATCTTCTCAACTGTTTAGTCAACAACTGGGGGCAGCCCTAACCAGCACCCTTTTGGGACACATTCACCAGACAACTCTTGATCTTTTTCACAGACCCGGAGGATGTGCTGAGTGTGAGCATAACTCTGGAGGAGCCCCAACGTCCTCTACTGGAGGAACATTAACACTACCATGTTACTTTGAGGTGTGTAATTACGAGCTCTTACTTAATGTAATTTTGTTTTGGATCTCAGTATTTTTTCCCATTGTATATTCGATACACATATTCAGGAAGGATTGTATTGTTCATATGCTCAGATTGTGGACAAAGACGAATTCTCACCTAAAGTCCTAATCAGACAGGCCATGTTTTTTTGCAGCAAGGGGACATCTTTATCCAGTTGTTCTTCATAGGCAGTAATCGCTTCGCACCTCACTTTTGTGCAGGAGCACTCTGAATGCCTCAAGCAAAAAACACTCAATGTCATTTTTTCTCTCCATAGTCCATCTGTTCAGATTTGTGAGTTTATTTCACATCAGAATCAAAGGACAGGTGATTTGGTGGAGGCCTAGCAACATCTGCGGTGTCCCTCATGTTTTGCATCCTGCAAAACTGCTCTGTCTGATCGAGGCCTAACTCTGCAGCTCTATAGAGCTTTTTTGCCTCAGGCTCTGTAACTCATTCAATGTTTTGGTTTTACCGTCTCAGTGCTCAGATGAAATTAGTTTGCAACAGCACATACAATTGTGTTTTTTTAGGAAACAACCTCTGTACACCATCTGACCAGCAGATGTGTACAGAGATAGTCCATTAACAACTCCAGAGGACAACAGATAAAGCTAAAAGGAGAGTAAATTTGGAACTTAAATTCATCAAGCTGACACAAACACAACACCAAATGAATGCTAATGTTGCTTTGTGTCTGCTCGATGTGTAAATAGGCAACTGTTTGTGTGCTATTCCAGTTCCAGAGGTTTTAATTGTGTACTGAGCGCTGTGGTTTTAGTGTTTATGGTTAGTGAACCAAGGAAACAAATTGGCTGAGAACGATGTTGTTTCCCATGTAGGACCACACTGTCCCAGATCCAGGAGCTCCCACCATCACTCCACTTTCTCATCGTATCAAATGGAGCCTCATCACCAAAGAAAAAGTCACGACTATCCTAGTGGCTTTGGAAGGACAGGTGCGCATAAGCGAGAGCTACCTGGACCGGGCTCATCTGGTGGGCTACCCAATGACTCCTACAGATGCTAGCATCAAGATATCAGAGCTGCGGTCCAGTGACACGGGAGTCTACCGCTGTGAGGTTCAGCACGGCATTGAAGACAGCAACGACAATGTCCATGTGCAGGTTCAAGGTATGCAAATGAGCTGCCGCATAATGTCAGTGAGACAACTGTGGTCGATACAAAAGATATGAATACACAGGAAAAAAGTTATTCATTTGTTTTGTAATATTCCACACTGTTTTCATATAATTGGATGCCAAAGTATTGTGGGTGTGGCCTGTTTGACAAACTGCCATAACTCTTGATCTCACTGTGTAAATGCAACCAAATATTGAAGACAAGTGCACACGTCTGCTCCAGGTGTCTGTGAAAAGTCTTAGACACCTGAAGTGTTCAGGTTGTTCACACTCTCTAATGACCAGCCAGGAGCACTGGCAAACCAAGCAGTATCCATCACTTTGATAATGACTCCACAAAGGTTAAATACCTGGGACTCCCTGACAGTCAATCAGAACTGAAGAGGCCTCTTGGAGGTGAAACGTCTTCTGAACGTACCTTCAATCAAGGCTAATTGCCCTTCATTTTAACCCACCTTGGATCTGCGTCCAAGTAATCCTGCACAATGTGTTGGCGTTCTGCCTGGCACAACAGCAAATTTAAATAGCCAGATCCAGATGAAGATTAAAAGATTCAAAATAATTTAAATTTTTCAAGTAAAATTCGAGGACTGTTCAACTTTTGTAGAAGCTTTTTGAGTATTTTCTAGTTTTTTTTTTTTTGGTATTGATTATCAAACATTTAACTAAAGTACTTGCTTATGTCTAGGTATGGTGTTCCACTACCGGCCCATCATGGGGCGCTACAGTCTGACTTTTGAAAAGGCAAAGGACGCGTGCACTCAGAACAGTGCGGTCATGGCTTCACCTGAACAGCTTCAAGCAGCCTTCGATGATGGATTCCACCAGTGTGACGCTGGCTGGCTCTCTGACCAAACAGTCAGGTCGGTTTGTCATATGATGGGTAACAACTCTCTACTACTCATGTTTGACACATCCCCATTCAAAGTTGTAACTTGTCCTTCAAATATGAAAATTCATACTGTATAAAAGTGTTCAACAAATACCCAAAGTACTATTTACCCAAAAAGGCAATTGTTTAAAGTGTTAAAATACTTTGACACTATTAAGGGACCGGACCATATGTGTAGTTTTGCATGTTTTAAAGTTGAACTACAAATCATGCAACACTTTGCAAAGCATATAATAATACACATCTTCTTTCAAGGAAGACCTTATTTTCCATTAGTTCCATTGAACTTGCTTAAGATAAATGTCTACGATCTGTCACTTTTTAAAATGATTTCTTTGTCAAAGTTGTGTTGCATTTTTGCACCATTGTTAGAAGTGACCATTTGAAAAAACTCCTTTGTGGTATGTTTCAACATCAATTCATAGTCAGCAGTATGGTACTGATGAATTCAAAGACAAACAAACAAACAAACAGGGATGTCTAACATAAATGAGCTTGAGAGCACCAACATGAGTGTTTTCAAAACCCTCACGTTCATATTCTAATTTGGATGTTGAATGTCATAAAGTGTTTCATTTTGAAAACACCAACGCTTTTATTAATTTCATCAAAGGTACCCAATCCATGATCCTCGTGTGAACTGCTATGGTGACAAAGAGGAACTGCCTGGGGTCAGGACATATGGAGTGAGAGACCTCAATGAGACTTATGATGTGTACTGCTTCACTAACAAGATGACAGGTACACTGCGATGAACACTGCAAAGTTTGCAAATTTTCCATTTTGAGCTTTGGGGTATTTTAAGCTCATTCTTTCATTATTTTACTCTTGTCTGATACAGGCAGAGTTTTCTACACTGCTTCTGCCGAAAAGTTCACCTTTTCTGAGGCAGTTGTGGCATGCGCTAATCAGGGAGCTCAGCTGGCCACCACTGGTCAGCTCTACCTGGCCTGGCAGGGTGGGATGGATGTCTGTAACGCCGCTGGCTGGGAGACAGGAGCGTCCGCTACCCCATCAACGTTCGTCGGCCACAGTGTGGAGGGGGTCTACTGGGAGTGCGAACTGTTTACCTCCACACAAACCAGACAGGATACCCACTTCCTGAGTCCCGCTATGACGCCTTCTGCTACACAGGTAGGCCATCGACAGTCTGTGGGGGCTTCGCTTGGGAACCAGAGGGTCGCTGGTTTGCGCTGCCCTCAATCTTTACAAGATTGGAGGGCTAGGCTTGTTAGAAATTGGATGGGACTATTACTGTAGATCACAAGAGAAGAAACCTGAACTTATGAGCCATAAGAGCCACCGCTACAACAAAGTTTTAGTATTTTCTTTCTAATTTCTCTCCTCAATCACCTCCAGAGTCCCCTGATGAGGAAGGTTCAGGCATCACAGAAGAGGGAAGTGGCGTGCTGAGTGTTACCACAGTGACACAGAGCCCAGAGGTGTTCTTCAGGAGGACGACCACAGAGAGCGAGGTGGTCGGAGAGGTGGAGACTCAGCGGCCCACTGCCGTGGACTTCACATACACAGAGAGCCCTACTGAACTGCCGCTGCCTCAGCCTCCAAATGTCACTGACTTTGTCATTGACCTCATAGAGCAAGCCACCGCCCGGCCTGACACAGGCAGGGAGCGCAGCAAAGGCTTTGTGATGCCTCAAAATGGTCAGTGAAAGAACTGCTGATGCAAATGTCAGAGTGTCCCTAATAATAATGTACTTAAATAAAAAAAAATGGCTCCACTAGAAAAGAATTCCCCTTGTTTCTCTGTGTAGGTGTGGTCTTTCATTATCGCTCAGGCTCCGGTCGCTATCCCTTCACCTTCATTGAGGCCCAGCAGGCCTGCCAGAGTGTCGGAGCCACCATCGCCACGTCACAGCAGCTGCAGGCAGCATATGAGGCTGGATATCACCAGTGCGATGCAGGATGGTTACTGGATCAGACTGTAAGGTAAATCTGAAATGTGTTTTCAGAGCAAGTAAAGAAATTCCTGTGCCAGACAGTACTTCATCGTGTTTGCTCTTTTCTAGATATCCTATTGTTTTCCCTCGAGATAAGTGTGCTGGAGATCTCGGGGATCAACCTGGAGTTCGGTCCTATGGTTTGAGGCCAGCAGATGAGAGATATGATGTGTACTGCTACATCGACGGGCTCAAAGGTAAGGGAAAAACGCTGTTTAGCTTGTAAAATGACCAGCTACTCTAAGAATAAAAGTACAATTGCACACTTTGTCATGAACAAGATGACGGGGTGCATCAACGTCTTCACATTATTATCCCACTTTTTACACAGCTACTCTGTAAAGAGGTTTTTCTTGACAACTCTTCATCTGCTCCACAGGTGAGGTTTTCCATGTGGGCTCCCCCGAAGGTTTCACGTATGATGAGGCTGCTTCTAGCTGTCAGGAACAGAACGCCGTATTGGCCTCCACCGGAGAGCTCTACGCAGCCTGGAAAATGGGTTTCGACAAGTGCCGTGCTGGCTGGCTAGTGGATCGTAGTGTCCGTTATCCCATCAACAACCCCCGTGCTGAGTGTGGAGCTGGGAAATCAGGAGTGCACACTGTGTATCCCCACCCGAACCAGACAGTCTTCCTTGAAGTTAATGCCAGATTTGATGCATACTGTTTCAGAGGTAAATGCTTGACATGTTCTCTGTCAAAAGGCTCATTCACATTTTTTTTTTCATTATCATTAATTTTCTCTCATTGTTCATTCTTATAGCGGATATTCTACTTATTGCAAATGAAACTGGACTGAACGTCACAGATATCCAGGAGGCCCTCCTTAACCTAACTTCAGTTACTGATTTGTTGAGGCCTGGTAAGCTATTTTCACATAATGAACAATTTACTTTTTTACTTGTCCATGTCCCTCACTCATTATTTCTATGTCCCTTTAGTTGTTCCACTCATTGTCCCTCCCATCCCTGTGGAGACTTCAGGCTCTGGTTCCGGCTCAGCAGACACTGGCTCAGCAGACATTGGCTCAGGGTCTATGGGGACTCACTCTGGAGACTTGTCTGGATCTGGAGACCTCTCTGGTTCTGGAGACCTGTCTGGTTCTGGAGAAAGGGTTATCTCTGGCAACATGTCTGCCTCTGGAGACTTGTCTGGTTCTGGAGACCTGTCTGGTTCTGGAGAAAGGGTTATCTCTGGCAACATGTCTGCCTCTGGAGACTTGTCTGGTTCTGGAGACCTGTCTGGTTCTGGAGACCTGTCTGGTTCTGGAGAAAGGGTTATCTCTGGCAACATGTCTGCCTCTGGAGACTTGTCTGGTTCTGGAGACAGCGTGATTGCTGAGCTGCCCAGTGGAGCATCAGGTTTCAGCAGTATAGATGCTTCTGGATCAGCTCTCAGCGGGGAAGGTTCCGGCTTCACTGTTAATTGTTTAGGCGTCGACAGAATTGTCTCTGGAGAGGGCTCAGTTTCAGGAGGACTCCAAGAAGCAGGAGAGGGAAGCACAGAGATTCTTATCTTACCTTCATCTGAAGCAGGCTCTGGAGGGCTTAGTGGCAGTGGGGACCACTCAGGATCTGGTTTCAGCTCTGCAGAGAGTGGCTCTTCCATTGATAGCTCTGGGGAAAGTGGACAGTTCTCTGGCCTGTCATCCGGTTTCATCACCAACCAGGATTTTTCTGGCTTCAGTGGTTTCCCCTCAGATTTCTCCTCTGGAAGTGCTAGTGGACAGTCAGGAGAGCCTTCGGGAAGTGGAGAAGCTCCGATCTTACTGATAGATGGTGAATTGGTTGATGTGTCCACCCCTATTACCCACAGGAGTATGAGCTTGGTGGAGGTCTACTGGTGCGCAGTGGCTCTGGAGACATTTCAGGATCTGGGATTCTCAGTGGCGATCTAAGTGGCTCAGCCTCAGGCAGTGGCTCTGAGTTCTTTTCAGGTGTGACCTTTGTGGGGTCAGGCTTAACTGACCTTACAGTGTCAGCATCTGGAGAGCAAGAGGCCTCTGGGTTTTTACTCTACAGCTCTGGACAAGGAAGTGGTGAACATTCGTCTGGATCTGGAAGCTCAAGTTTTCTCTCTGGATCGGGAATGTCTGGATCAGAAACGTCTGGATCAGGAATGTCTGGATCGGAGTCCTCAACAAGCGGAGAACAAGGTAGTGTCACATTCTTGACTGGGGACTTAATGACAGAGGTCACCAGAGACACAACACTGTCTATGGAGCTTGGACAGGGATCGGTGGAGTACAGTGGAGAAGGAAGCAGTAGCAGCAGTGGTTTCTACTCTGGTAGCGGAGACAGCAGCTTGTCCACAGCCAGCGGCATTTCTTCAGGAGCTTCTTCTGGAGATCTGCCTCAGGTGGTGCCTTCCAGTGAGTGGAAAGAGACAGAGAACACCACAGGACCAGAGGAGACCCTTACTGGGGATGAACTGTCACAGATCTCACACATCTATGGAACTCCCGGCCCTGTGTTTGCTCCCGCAGGACTGGCTGCTCCTCCCACTGCAGCTACACCACCCTCTGTGCAGACACCAGGCATTGTTGAAGGTAGGTCAAACTATTCTTTCATTTTTTTGTAATTGGTAAACATTGTTGTCCTGTATTTCTCAAATTGTGATATGTACTTGTTTTATAGGTATTCTGTGACAGTACACTGGATATCTTATGGTTTTGGACTGCTGCTCGGACAAAACGTTTTTTCACTTTTTTCTGATATTTTGTAGAACAACTGATTTTATTCTGATCTAGCAAATGAATCAATAATGAAAAACAATCACTAGTTGCTGCCTTAAATTTGCCCCTTAACTACAATTGTATAAAGTACTTTACATTACTGGCCAATTACATGTATATTTACAAGTGCCATGCAACCGTAATATTTGTTGATTCTTCAGCTTTAATATGATTGACACATCAATTTTAGCAGGGAGGTTGACTTGTAAATTTGGTCTCAATGTAGAGTTAATTTTCTTTTGCACTCTGTGGAGAGTGTATCAACAACTGTCATTTTTAATAATCATTTTAGTGCTTCTCTGGACTGTGGTCTGTCCACACATTTCCTACACTAACAACTGTGTCAGTCAGCATCAATCAAATATTTGATAAAGTTTGCTGATGACACAACTTTTTTCACTAATGGAGAAACACAGCATTGTTACGTGCTGGTAGCATCAACAAAACAAAACCTTCAGGGCTGCATTTGAATACAAAACGTTTAACTTTGACAAAAGAAATACAATGCATCACAACACCACAGCTGTGATTACACTTGAAACATAGATAATCTTGTAGCTGTGTTCAAGTGTTACTCAAATACATAAGCTTGACCATATACCATGTATTTCAATTTCGAATTGTTGTGAGGATGCATTCAGGTTCTGCACTGTGGCATTTGTAAACATCACATTGATGAGATCAAATGTCAAATTCAGAAATTGCTGCACCTGCTACACCAGCCCTCAAGTTCAGATAAAACTTGGAAGACTGATGCATCTCTCTTTTCTAGGTGCTTTTAACCCATGTGAACCTAACCCCTGTGGTGCTGCTTCATGCACAGTTGAGGACGGGGTTGCTCTGTGCCATGGTAAGTCCCAAAACAGTTCCAGGTGCCATCTTTCGCATCTTTCTTTATGATGTTTTGGTTTTACAGACTTTGCCAGTAGCATTTCTCTGTATGTCTTTGCTGTTGAGAAGTTTTCATGTTTTCTATTGTTTGTCTGCATTCTGTTTATTAATCAGCTTGTCAGATACATTTTTACCTGATTGTGATTATATTATTATATATTTCTAAAAATCTATTATCTCTCCCCGCTGTTCTGTCCTGGTGTGTTTTGCATCATATTTTTGCTATGTTATGTGTTCCTTTGATTTCCTTGTGTTCATTTTGTCTGTGTCTTGCTATGGGTCTCTGTGTTTGTGTGGCAGATTGGATGTCAAATATGTATCAGCTCTGCTCTGAGGTTACACAGCCCCTGTGTCAGACGTGTTCCCACAGCTGTCTTCAGTCTATATGTTGTTTTTGGTGCTGTGCCAGTACATCGCCTCCGCTCTGCTGTATGCATGCTAAACTCAGGGCAACATATGTGCTTTCTGGCATCATATGGGCGCTGCCATCCTGCTGTAATTAGAATACTGATCTTGTGCTGCAGCTAACCACAGATTCAAAACATTAACTTACTGCAGATATTACAAATATTCTTTTCTTTGCAGGAATAAACACAAATTTGGTATATATTTCAGTATATATCGTAGATAATCATCAGTTGGTAATCTGAGAGGCCTCAAATAGTAAGATTTATCAAAAACAAAGGAACATAGATGATGATTCAGTATGCAGTAAGTCTAATTTGAATCAGAGGTTGCAGCAACTACAGTATTGTTCACTAACTTTGCAGTCCTGAGGTGTGATAGTCTCTATCACAGCCTCATGTCCCTCACCTTGCTGGGAAACCTCCCATCCCCACCCCACGCTGAAACAGTAGTGTCACCCGCCCCCTTTTTTGCAGAGGTAGATGTGTGCCATTCCAGCCCTTGTGCCAATGGAGCCACCTGTGTGGAGAGTGCAGACTCTTACAAATGCTTATGCCTGCCCAGCTACGGAGGGGAACGCTGTGAGATCGGTATGAGATCAGCTTCAGCTAATAAATACTAACACCAGCCTCTCAAAAACAACTGAAGAGAAAGAGATGCTTAAACATCACAAGCCGATAGCATCGTTACTCGCTGTGACTCTGTCAAAATACAAAGTCATGAGGAATCCTGTTGTCGAAGATGAACTACACATAGCTGTGAATGTTGTGGTTTGCCATGGGACTCAGTTCACCCCAATCACAACATATTTTGCCTAGTAGAACCTTGCAATACAGTAATGTTTCAGTGTTTTACCGCTCAAAACACTGAATAATTTACTTTTTGTCAAACCCCTTTCTTGAACAGTCTCCAGTTATAGGTACAAAACTGTAACAACACAGCAAGTCTGTGAAGTTTGGAGTCTTTCATAGTTGTCGAAGTCAGATCAGTTCTCTGCATTTAAACCATTATTTTATGTTTACAGGATTTCTGGCTACGTTTAAAATAGCCCTGTTCAGATATGGGGAGAGGGGTTAGAGAACATTACATTTTAAAAACCTGCGTCTTATAACGTCTATCCATTTTTTTAATTCCTATCCGCATTCATGTCATAAAATAACACCTGAGCCAATTCCATTTGCTGATCAAGACTGTTGGATGCAGTTAAAAGCACTGAAAAGGCAGATTAGTGGACCTTGAGTTGAGATTTGGTCACACATACTGATCCCAAGGTCCAAAGTTATGCCTGTAGTATTACCATCCTGAAACAGGTGAATTGTGTCAGGAAGGACATGTTGTGAAAGGCATGTTGTTTCTGGGCAGTGACAGGAAGCGGAGGATATCTCAAAAGGCAAATAAAGCCAAAGTTATCTGGACGGCAAAATACCACTTGGTAGGTGGAAAAATATGAAAATGTGTTTGTGTGTAATTTGCGTGAACCAACCCTTTAACTAAAGGTTGAGCGATAGAATGAAAGAAGTCTTTGAATGTTAAAGTAAAAGGAAAAAAGTGGAAATTTACAATTACATTATTGTTGGGCAGGGCTGTGAAGTGAAGCATTATATAGAATTTTCCATTCTGTATTGGGACGGTTGTTTTGCATGTCAGGGTGGAAACACTGTCTGCGGTAAAATTTGTATTAAATGCCAGACCGACTAAGGTCATCGCAGAGGGAAAATATGCTCATCACTGTCTCACAAGACAAGTGCTGAATATGCAAAGCTGAAACACTACATGGGTTGTGAACAATATCAAGCACTTTATCTGCTGCTCAAACACTAATAGCACACAGATAGCAGAAAGAATGATAAGAATACAGAAGAGCTTCTCATCATCAGATACTGTGCTTTAGTTTTCCAACCCATTTAGATGTGGATGAGGAAGGATATTTAATTTATAGTCTAATAAGAGTCTCAGAGTCCTAGAAATTGAAAAAAGACACGAATGAAAGTACATTCAGAATGCCATACGTTGACTGAATGTTGACTCCTTGGTGTTGCGGCTGCAGATGAGCAGCAGTGTGAAGACGGTTGGACTAAGTTTCAGGGGAACTGCTACCTGCACTTCTATGACAGAGAGATGTGGCTGGATGCAGAGCAGCGCTGCCGGGACCTGAATGCCCACCTAGTCAGCATCATTACCCCAGAGGAGCAACACTTTGTCTACTGTGAGTGCATAATGTAGTGTGTGTGTGTTTGTGTCAATAGAGATGGAGACAGACAGAGAATGAAAAAATTAAGTCGCAACCCTTTTTCCCACCCACAGCAAACGCACAGGACTACCAGTGGATCGGTCTGAATGACAAGACAGTGGAAAATGACTTCCGCTGGACAGATGGCACGCCACTGGTGAGTGAGGACATTACTCTGGTGTGTTGCTCCTGTTAGATGCAGGGCATAGTATCGTATAGTAGGGTGTATTGTGGTGGTTCCTAACCTGTTTGGATTGTAAAGCCCCTTAAAACAAAGTCTACTAGCTCCCCTTATCACAGTTTGCATACAGTACAGGCTACAGAGTAACTTTTCTCTCCAAGAGGGTTTTCTTTGAATACTCTTCAGGGCATGGATGAATTACTGAACAGGCATACTAGAACAGAGCCTCTGTATAAAATTAATATTTATTAATTAATCCATCCATCACCAACCGCTTATCCGGGGGGGCGAAAGGCCACACATAGACAAACTACCACTCACACTGACATTCACGCCTAAGGACAATTTAGAGTCACCAATTAACCTAGTCCGCATATCTTTGGATGGTGGGAGGAAGCCGGAGCACCCGGAGAGAACCCACGCAGACACGGGGAGAACATGCAAACTCCACACAGAAAGGCCGTATCTGTATGAATATAGTATTTCTTATTAAGAGAATCAAACAACTACAAAAGACATCGCCGAGTTGTGTTTTGTCCCTGGAGTCTTCAGGGTTCTGGTTCACCTGCAAAATGTTACTGAAAGATACACAAAACAACTACAAACAATGCGTCAATCTGGATATCTTTCACTTCTGTAGGCGAGGCGGGGGCCTTTTACATGCTGGTGCACATGGGCACATTCTCTCACAATCTGTCCTTTTTCAGAGACTTGAAGATGTACAATAATCCAGTAATTATTGAAAAAAACAGCGTAAGTCCTGACCCACTCGCCTCTGTTCTCAATGGGTTTTCTCCATCGTGAATACAGCACCCAAAGTCAGCCTTGCTGCCAGTTTGTGACCAGGCACAAAAACACATCAACAAAATATCCTCTGCATCTCAAGACTTACATTATAGAAGAGACATTTGTAACTGCAAACAAGTCAGTTATTATTCTTTGTTTATACTTGACGCCTCATTGGAGCTACATTATCAGTCACCCATGAATCTAAACCAATGCAGAATATGCTTTAATTGCATTAACAGTTCTATATTATATACTGTATATTTGCATTTAGCTTTGTATAAAAAAAATGTTAGTTCAACATGCATGAAAAGGATCTTTTATCATTTTGGAGAAGTCTGCGCATGCAGAGGTCTGTGAAAATGCAAAGTCATGCCTAAACAAGCACCAAAATAGCAATGCACCATCTGATCTGCATAAGCACAACCTCAGCTGCACCACTCCAAACACAAGTGGGTTTATTTAAAGGGACAAAATTACCCAACAGGTGCAAGCACAAAAAATTAACTTCATTACCAGGTGTTTGGATGGAAATAAACACTGCGTTTAGAAAACATGACTGTGTTGGTGAAAATTGGCTTCAGGTAACAGTGAGATGATATACGCCCAGTCTGAGTAATAGAATGATGAGTTTGAAGGCTTATCAGAAGCCAAAACTCTGCAGTTTATGATACTATGAGACAGGATTTTTCAACTCTTGAAAAGTTAAGCCAGGAAACCTTTGTTGCTGGAAAACCATGTATTTTTAGCTGGAGCCCTCTGTATCTGGACCCCTGTAATGAAATAAATAGTTATGTCTGCATTTCTTCACAGAGCGCTAATATCTATGCCTTAAGAATGGAGTATGCCTGAAACAATCTACTTCTTACAAAGTGTCGTCTGGCCACACTTAAAGGCAAAAGTGTTTATATACTGTTCTGAAGATCTGTAGTCAAAGACGGACGAAAAGCCTGCCATCATGGTGAGGGGCAAGATGTGAGAATAGTTCAAGTAGGGAAAGTGGTACACAGCAGTTGAGACTGAAAATGAGATGCTAAAAAAAGTTCACATCCTGATTACTGACAGCGCTGAATGATGAATTGTAAGGGGGATTCAAATGAAAAGTTGTGGTCCCTCTTGAAGTATGCTTCTTCTTCCGCTTCAGCAATATGAGAACTGGAGGCCGGCCCAGCCAGATAATAAAAGCTCTAGAGAAGACTGTGTAGTGATGATCTGGCATGAGAATGGCCAGTGGAACGACGTGCCCTGCAACTACCACCTGCCATTTACCTGCAAGAAAGGCCCAGGTATGTTCAGACTTAACATCTGCTTCTGCTCAAGTCTGTGATCTACAGCTTTAAACAAACATCAAGACAAGGTGACCAACACACAGTCGTGAATTATTGCGTTGTCATAGCAAATGTTTTGACAAACAATTCCCTACTTACACGTCCACCTGATTAATGTAAAGCAGATGATACACGAGGCAACTTTTTGAGCAATGTTGCTGGGCAATGTTGCTAGTTGCAAGTCCGACTATGTTTTGAACAGATAGCGGCGGTGCGGGTGGCGGAGTGGTGGGGAAGGGATTACGGTAGTAATCTTTACTCATTACCACTGACGGCTACGTTGCCCTGCACGATTGCTCGGAAAGTGTCTCTGTGTATCATCAGCTTAAGAGTCACATAGTAATTCTCCATCATTCCAGCAGAACTATGTAGGACCACTTTCACACAGAGCCATTAGATGTGATGTTCATGATGATGATTACTGCAGTACTCCATACTGTATTATCAGTGCACTGGTAGTTTCACTAGCTTGTCATAGTTGCAGCTATTAACTTAGACACAAATAAGTGGACAGATGGTTTGATATGATGCTCTGTGGCCTCTGGTTCTGTCCTCAGTGTCCTGTGGCGCCCCGCCACAGGTGGAGAATGCCCACATGTTTGGTAACAGGAGGGAGGAGTACCCTGTCAACTCCATCATCCGGTATCAGTGCAACCAGGGATTTACACAACGCCACCCTCCGGTGGTTCGGTGTAAAGCAGATGGACAGTGGGAGAAACCCCAAGTGGAATGCACTGATGGTGAGTGCAGTCTACATGGATACCCTGTTAGTCATTTTGGGTCTAGTAGTTGCAAAAAACTTACTGACAGGTTAAGAAAAATGTGTTATTTTTTTAACAAGAACTCACTCTTGTTGTGTTCTACAGTGAAATCCAGAAAAAGAATACAGCGGAGGAGCAGCGGGAGTCCGGCAGCCAGCAGCAAGCTTCACTAAACAGGAAAAACAGGAATTAATTATTTAAATGAAGAACATTTGCAGAAAACAAAAAACATTTTCCACTTTAGTGAAGATTAAAAGGTTGAATTGTTGGAAAGCCAACATTAAGGGTCCTAAATCTATCCCCTGCCCCTCGTAATATATTTGAATTATATATAATAATTTTATTGCTCTGAGTTCATTTTCATTGTGTGTGCTGTGATATAATTCAGTTTGGTGAAATCATTGCTGGGATACTTTGTTCCATATGAGATTTACATTTATAGAAGGCAGCATCTGTCTGGTTCACTGTAGTCTGCTGTAGCATTGCTCATTGTAACATCTGTTTTGGCAAAGGTAAAAAGTGAAATACTGATGTTTTTAAAGTCCATATCGCCATCTTCATATCCTTCCTGCTGGTTTCTGCACTCAGTCAGTGTAGCCAGTGGTGTTAGCCACCATTCTTTGTTGTCACGAAGTGTAAGCACATGGAGATATGTTTAGTTTAGGATAGGATATAAACACATGAAGATAAATACCCAATAATCAATGAATCCTATTTTCCAGAGAAACAAACACTTTCCAAAAGTACATTGTGGCTCTCTACGGTCATATTTAGTGTCATCTGAGTATCTAAAATATATCTGGATGGAAATGATCAACCTAAGGCAGATGTGAGGGCTGCACTGCACTGGTTACACAGTTAAAACTGATCTGTGTGGTGGCATGAATCATTCAGTATCTAAAAGGTGTCAAAACAGTCACCTCACTCACCTTACAGTCCAAGTTTATTTATTTGGGGGATGTTTAATAGCTGGAACAGATGTTTCATTTCAAATTTGATTTAGATATACATGTGAATTTTGAAAATCCAATCACACAAGTCATGTTGGCTTATTACAAATTAGAAAAGAAGTCTAAGTAGGTGATGTTCCGACTAATTTTAGCCATAGAGAGAAAACAAACAAATCCAACAAACTTTATAGTCTGCTTTAGCTATTGTGTGGTTTAAAACAGAGACTTTTGGTCAATGTGAATACACAACCTTTTATTTATTGATTTCAAACAGTGACAGAGTCTCTGCTGGACTGAGCCAGTGATTGTCGTACAAGAGATTCAGTACTTAATGGTGATGAGACTACAGCAGCAGCCGTAACACACGGCCAGGGTGAATAAACTTCTACAAGCCCCATTTTGTCATATTTAATCTGTAGAGGATGAAGTGAAACTGCTTGTGTTCCCGCAGTTTGTCATGTTGGCTTGTTTGAGTTTTTTGTTTTCTGTGTGTTTTGGTGGTCATCTTCCACACGACTGTGCAGTGCATAGTGTTTCTGTGGAGTCAGTATAATGAACCTGTTTCATGAATCTATTTCATGTTTGTAACCTCAGAGGAAATAACATCACTGTAAACATTACAGTGTGAAATGCCTGCTGTTGTTTGTTTCCAACTTTGACTGCTCTCATTTGTGCACTTGTTGTGTTATTGTTATATTTGGGGGCTGTGCCTCCATCATACATACTACCTGCTGCATGATAAACCAAAGACTGAGAATACAATTTCAAAGTTGTACATGTGTCGGCTGTAGCCCCATTTTATTCACTAATTTAAAAGGATATGTCTGCATATTCTCTATTTTTCTTATTGTCAACAAAGCCTATGGAAATACCCAAACCAACAATAAATGTATCTACTAACAAGTATTGTGTGTGTATTCAAAGACTGATATACCTTCTTCCTCTGTAACATAAAGCTCCATTGTTGTCCAAAAAACGTTTTATAAGAACTGGACACCAGAATCCAAAATGGCACATATTTACTTGAATAAAAATTGCTCCCCAGCGCAATTTTAGTTGCCCAAAAAGTTTTCCCCCTTCCTTGTTTGCTTCAGCACTGGGCCCACTGCACATGGGTATTAGATTTTCTTCCACTGCTGTGAGAAGACTTTATATTGGATTTGTTGTTGACAGTAAAAAAAAAATACAGAGATTAATACCAGACTTACTATTTCAAATGCAAATTCAGCCAGTGTTTAAATTCAGCTATGAAATATTGGTTCTTTGCATGAGGCAGATAAACGCAAAGAACTGATATAAAATAGACAAAAATATGATTTAAGAGAAACACATAAGTTTGCCTCATCCTCACATAACTTTGACTTGTTTAATGTTTTATGAGACCAAAGTGGTGCAGAATGAATTCACATGTGCCCCATGTCTAAATGTTTGTACTCGCATCAATCAATGCCAAATAAAAACACTTTGGTTGTTACGTTTTCTAATGGATTTAGATTACTCTTGCGGCTCTTATCTCTGTTCATACTGTTCAACAACTACTTGTATAACTAATATAATTAACAGACTGCACAGATGAGTCAGTCCTCCATCGTTCCAGGAGGGTCACCGCCCAAATGTCCCAGGTACAGACAACAAACACGTCTTTCACCTTCCATCCGACTCTCAGTGAGCTCAGTGTTTCTGTGGCAGCAGCCGAGGTAAATAGAATACGGCACTGACTCATAGGAATAAGAACATTACGGCAAATTTGTATTTGCCCAACAGGGTGGGTTGCACGTCAGTGTTCTCTTGTGACTGAATACAGCCCTTTATGGATCCTCTGTACCACACCCTCCATCAACACACACACCGGTTCACCTCTCTGCCTCGGGCCTCATCTCTCACAGAATATTTTGTACTTGTTAATTAATAGAAAACAGAAAATGTTTGTATCCTAAAACATATTGCAAAGCACTTCTTGGTGTGAAATTAGAAATACTAACTTAAAAATGAACCTTAAAATAGACCTTAAGAATAAAAACTGAATAAAATGATAGCACTATGTCATTTATTAATAGCATATAGAGGAGAAGGCTGCTGGATTTATAAGAATAAATTGCCTATATGTAAAACACTTATTTGACGTCTGATACCACTTCCGTATCAGTATGGTAAATATGAATCTACAGCCAGCAGGCAGTTAACTCAGCTGAGCATAAAGACAGGGGAAAAACATGGTCTGTCTTGTCCAAAACATAAACCACTTACCAGAACCTTTAACACACAATTTAACACATTATGTCTCATTTGTCTAATCCTCACAAAACCAAAGAGTAATGACAACTATACTGCTGCTTTATGGGGAGTGATATATAATTATTAACTACAAGCTAATTAGCATATTTACACAACTCCCCATGAAAAATCTACAAATCCATTTTGACATAAACACACAGCTAGTGCTTACCAAATTGACTTGTAGTCTCCCTACAAGTCAATTTGGTTGCTCACACATTAGCATAGCCACAGTTTAAGATGGGTTTAAAATTGTGTTGTCTGGAACTAAATCACTCGTTCTCTCACATCCCATTACTCTGGTTTTAAGATGCACCTGTGGTTTAGTCTAAACCCAATTGGTGTGTCCTGTAGCAATCCCTTAAATGCCACTAGAGGTCATTGTATCTGAGGTTTCACTACTAACTGCACGTTGTAGAGTTGAGTTTAAGGGCAGATTTCTACAGCTCAGAATGGTTATAAATTCTAAAAGTTAAAATCTACCTACATGTATGAAAAAAACACGAATGTCAAAATAAAATTACATTTAAAATGTTCAAAAATTAAAGCTTTTAAAACTCCTGAAAGTTCAGCTTAACTGGATTTTGATGCCAAAATCTATATATATTTTTTAACTACATTGAATAAATAATGTATCTTTTATAGTTAAGGCAAGGTCCTCTACATCTATGATCACCCAAAAGTGTACTCAGAAAATGTATGTTACAGAAAATGAGGCCTTGGTTGAACCAAGTCCAGTTGCCCTTGACTTTAACCTTCGTTGGATAACTGAGAATCTTCACAGACAACATCAAATTATCCTTCATGCGATGCTGCAAAGAAGAGCTGTGACAACACTGAACACGTTGCAAATTAAAAAAATATAATACCAACAACAAACCCCACGCAGGAAATTAAGATACCTAGGCCAGCTTCCAAGCAAACTCTGAAGCAGTTTTTGAGTGGTGAGCTGATCATGGCAGCCATTTATTTCCCTTGTTCACACTGCAGTAAAATACAACTCGTTTCCGACTCCTTTTTCCAGCCATCAGTAATTTCCCATGACAGATGAAGTTGGTTGGCCCTAACAGTTTCCTTGTTTTGTAAAGTGGAGCAGAACTTCATGTTCGTCACTGGAATAAGCTTTGTTGAATTTGCCCTGCAGTTCTGTGTGGTGCTGATGATAAACAACAACAAAAAGCATTCAATGACTGGTCCATTTGACTTCAACTCTTGGTTTTGTTTGTAATAAGAACAGTCTGCACCTTATATATCCCGTGTAAAGCTACTTTTTCTTTTTGGATTTCAACAAACAGAGCCAAACTCCAGGTCTTCAACCAGCACCATTCCTAATGGATTTGTGTTTTCAGATAGTGAGCGATATCATTATATAATTATCACAAAAAAACTACTAGGCTTCAGATCTTGCAAGAAGAAGTTTTCTTCAGTATCAAAGTAATCCAGTTACAGCTGTCTGTAAATTCATGGGTTCACTGCAAACAGGAACTGTTAATAATAGCTAATTTGTCATACTTTTACTTTAATAGTCCCACTCTGCCAATAATGTTAACAATATATAGGTCAAAAAAACGGGGCTCAAACAACCTCCTATTTGATGACCTCTTGCTCTTCGGAAGGATTAAATTTTGTTTTGTACACGTTTCCACTTACCAGATTTGCAAAAGATTTTGGATTTACTCCTTTTTCACAAAAATGTCAAATTTCACAAGCAGCTCTTCCTATGCAACAAACTTAATATGAGGACAATTCTTCATCCAAGTTTGCAGAAAAAACTAACTGCGATTGTAATTATTACTGAGGTGAGGGTGAAAAGTTATACACCTCGGGATTAAACATTGGGAATAAAATCACTCATCCGCGCAGGTAATGGTTAAATCATTCCACTTCCCCATAAGAAATATATCCAGTCCAAACGAACCTTAAGACAAACTTTTCCTTCTGTTTTCTTTCTAGAATTGAAAAGCCACCAACTATTAAGTCAACTATTCACATACAATATATCTCAATTAAGGAAGGCATTTTAAAAATGAAGAAAAGACTGTCTATCAGGAATATTCTTTAATAGACAATAATAATAATAATGATAATAATAATAATTTTAGCATGAGGGATGTATTGCTCCAAAATACTACAAAATAATTCCACAATTCCACACATGCCAGATAATGACGAATAAATATTTGTGAACCAATGGGTTTTTGTAAAATACAAAAACATCAAATTTAAGTTTAGAAGACACAGGGCAGTTGTGAGCACTGTGTGGTGTTTGAGATTTCCACCTTCCATCATTTCTGCACACACAAATAACTTACAGATGTTGTAATGATCCTCATGATCTTCCTTCAGTAACAAAGCCGGTCCGGGTAAAAGAGTCCACATCCTCCTCTTTCTTTATTTGTGGAAATTATTTTTGTGTTTCATTTAGCCAGTTGGAAATATCCCACAATGGACCTTTAAGAGAAAACAAAGCATTGCATAGATTTTTTGAGACGGATTTTTGGATTGTTGGTATCTACATTTAGCTGACGCTTTTATCCAAAGCGACTTACAGTTGCTATACATGTCAGAGGTCGCACGCCTCTGGAGCAACTAGGGGTTAAGTGTCTTGCTCAGGGACACAATGGTGGATGGGTCACAGTGGGGTACCCAGGTCTCTCACACCAAAGACATGTGTCCCCCCCCCCCCCCCATCTAGTATCTAGTATACGGCTAGTATTTTTAGTTACTGCTACATAATTGGATATTTTAGTACTTTTAGTTTTTGATGAACGATGAGTGCTTAGTCTTCCCTAGAGGATTTTTTAGAGCACGGCTGGAGACAAATAAAGAGAAAATGGCAGAACAAGACAAGCCAACTTACATGCGGCCTTGTCACTTTCACAAGCTGGCTGGGCGTGATGAATCCTTGTCGTCTTCTTTCTTGATGTCACAGCCTGCTCCGTCTTTGGTTTATTTAAAACAGCCCTTGGATATGACAGAAAAGTAGCAAAGAATTTTTTTATTATTCACGGTTTACAAGAATTTAAACAGAGTGTAGAAAATATGTAACAGATGTTTGTTTAATTTAAAACGTGTCTTCTATAGAACCTCCTACGGTATTTAATTGATTTACAATCACTGCTACACTCACTTCTGCATTCAAAACACCAGTGGGAGACTGTAGATGAGCGTTTGTGCCTGGGCCAAGAGACCTGAGTCCCACATTAGCATTTCCTGCAGATGTCACTTCACTGATTAACAATTCATTTGACTTGTGTCATCTAACTCTCGTATTCATAGATTTGCATAGAAATGACAGGTGAGACTGAACGAGAACCCCAGACATGCTGCTGTCTAAATAAACCCCAAATGAAAAAGAGGCAACATAATGTCAAGATATTGGCCGACTTCCTGTTGGGTTTAGGGCATCGCTCCAAGAGGCTTTTTGGTACGTCTGGACATGATACATGTGCTACAGAAATTTCATACATGTAGGTGAAACGTGCCACGGGGGCTGCTTTGTTGAAGGTCACTTCATGTTGCCAGCAGGTGGCGCTATGACTGTGGGTGAATGTTAGCATGTAGCTGTGTTCAGAGTGCGACTCTCATCAAACGTGTAAAATTTGGTACAGGTCTGGTCATGTACAGTCAAGTTACAACAACTTCCCTTGTCATGGCGAAGCGTTTTTCGCCGCCACGCCACCGTCACTTCGTTAACCGAAAACTCACTCAAGTTTTACAACATGGCATGGTCAATGTGTTAATGGTTTTCTGGGACAGTTTTGAATTTGATGGCCAACCTGGTAGGAGTAGTCCCTCTAAGCATAAAACGTGACATTTCCTGTTGCCAGCAGGTGGCGCTATAATAATAATAATAATAATAATACATTTTATTTCATAGTGCTTTTCAGGACACTCAAAGACACTTTACAGTAAAAGCAGAAGTAATGTACATTTAAAACAGATTAAAAACATAAAACATAAATAGCATAATATATGAACAGTAGATGAAACGCCTTGTGACAAAGGAGCAGTGGACTATACTATGACTTTGAGCGAATGATGACATGTGGATGTGTTCAGGGCGGGACTATTATTATCCATATCTAATTGGGTACAGAGTTGAGCATGTATATTGAAGTTATAACAACTTCCTGTTTCTTGGCGAATCGTTGATTTTCGACGCCATGCCACAGGCACACTCATGGACGAAAACTCACCGTTTGTACAACTTTTAATCGTCAATGGGTTTAGACTACACAGTGAAAATTTTAAGTCGATCGCATTAATTCTCTAGGAGGAGTGTGTTAACGTATGAAGAGTGTAAATCGCCAAAAATGACCATTAAATCCAAAATGGCCGACTTCCTGTTGGGTGTGGGGCATTGCTCCGAGAGGCTTTTTTTTATGTCTGGAAATGATACACGTACCACAGAAATTTCGTACACATGGGTGAAACTTTGGCCGGGGGCTGCTCTGTGGGGGGCGCTACCAAGCCATTTTGCCACACCCATGTACGAAATTTTTCACAATTATGTGCAAAGTTTGGTGAGTTTTTGAGCATGGTTAGGCCCCTAAAAAAGTAAAAAAAATTCCTTCAGTTCCAATAGGGACCTCGCCTGTTTTCGGGCCCTAATAATTGAACCCACAATCACCTGTACCAAAGTCAGTGGCATTAACCACTGACCTATCCAGGAGCTCTCGCTTGCTCTCTCTCTCTCTCTCTCTCTCAATTCAATTCAATTCAAATTAGCTTTATTGGCAAGAATGTAACAACAACATTGCCAAAGCATCATATATACAACATAAGAACAATCAGCCCCATACATTTAATTAAACAAGTAATTGAAGTGTAAAGTCATCAAAGCGTATGTGTGTTTGTGTTAAAAGAAAAAAATTTATTAAAATAAAATAAATAAATAAAACGGTAAGTGTGTGTGTGTTAAAAAATAAAAATATATATAAAAAAATAAAATAAAATAAATGAAACAGTAACGTGTGTGTATATATTAATAGACCAAAAATTAAAATTTAAAAATAATTAATTGATTAAAAATAATTTGAAAAAAAGGGAAAAAAAGAAAAAAAGAAATCTGTATCAAATGTAAAAACAAAACAATTAGTAAAATATCAAATGATCAAAATAATAATAATTTGAAAATCTGTACAATTATTTGTTAGTCTGAGGTCTTTCTCTCTCTCTTATCCTGATTCTATTCTTGAATTTGGGCTTTGCTAAACTGTGTTTCATATTTTGCTCCTTTTTAAATAAAATTAATATGTTATTACCCTTTCAACTACAAACATTTATATTTGCTAGGCTTAGTCAAAATCAATTATTCATAAATTGTTTAAAACTTATGTGTCCAGAACCCTGTAAAGACAGAAAACCTCAGTATTTTTTATACAGTCTATACTATACTTCCCCAAATAAGCTTTTATTGTCATTATGCATTAAAAAAGTATTTTTTTCCATGTAGTATTTAATCGAGATGGCTCTTCTCACACAGTTTAATTATGGAATCAATATAGTCCTAAATGTGTAGCTGGTTGAAAATGTTTTGTACTAGTACATTAAAATGTTTGAATGTGTACACAGTATCTGTACGAATAGATTTAAATGTTCAATCTGTAAGAAGATCTGTAACTGTGCATGACATTTTGTGAACAAATAAAGATTAGCACAAATGCTTAAACTTACATAAAACGTTTTCGTCTGTCTGTAGGTTAAAAAAAAAATCACAGAGAACTTAATATTTTGTGTAAATAAATTGAATGAAATAAAAAACAAGTAAATAAACATTCATATCAGGCACTATCATCATTATACACACTCACACACTTTAATCATATTTGTTGCATTTCACTAACTGCAACTCATGCTCAAAACTGAGGAGATGACCGTGGACTTCAGGAGGAGCCCCCCCCACTCTGCCCCTCATCACTATACTCAACAGCTCTGTGTCTGCTGTGGAATCCTTCAGGTTTCTGGGATCCACTATATCCCAGGACCTGAAGTAGGAGCCCAACACTGACACCATCATCAAGAAGGCCCAGCAGAGGATGTACTTCCTGCGTCAGCTCAGGAAGCTCAACCTGCCCAAGCAGCTGCTGATCCACTTCTACACAGCCATCATCCAGTCTGTCCTCTGCACCTCCATCACTGTCTGGTTTGGATCTGCCACCAAAAAGGACAGGAGCAGACTACAACCGACAGTCAGGACTGCAGAAAAGATCATCGGTGCCAACCTGCCCTCCATTCAGGACTTTTTTCCAGAGTCAGGAAACGGGCAGGAAACATCACTGCAGATCCATCTCACCCCGGACACAACCTGTTCCAGCTCCTCCCCTCTGGTAGGCGCTACAGAGCACTGTACGCCAAAACCAACAGACTCAGGAACAGTTTCTTCCCACAAGCCATCACTGTGATGAACAGCTGATTTCTGACTCACAGTGTCAGGAACAATTCCTGTGCAATAACCCAGTAACTCTGCCTCTTATCAGCACCTGTTCACTGGTTTCCACTTATATTTATTTATTCACCATTCTCTGTTCATACAATGTCATATTGTATATACTGTATACCAATACACCTACCTCAGGTCATAAGGTCATAGGTTTTATTTATTTTTTCCAGCATCCTTTGCTCTATGCTCCATCACACTGTGTACATTTATGTGTACCTGTATATCATATCCACCTTCAACATGTACATAATGAGAATAGTTTACTCTTGCATCCTTTGCACTCTGATCACTGCACTATTTGTCAATATGTCTATATTGTTTTGTTCATAGTGTGTATGTTAGTGTTGTCTACTCTGTAGTTTGTGTCTGATTTTATTTTATTATTATTATATATTATTGTATAAGTAAGCACATCGTGAGCAATGTACAATCCTGAGTCAAATCGTATGTGTGCACATACCTGGCAATAAAACTGATTCTGATTCTGCTGCACTCATGATCGGATTGTGTGCGGAACCAAAGACACCACAACTCTGTTTCCGGTTGGACCATAAACCAGGGGGACTTCCGTTGGTGCTTTTACTTGCTGGATAACGATGGCTTTCCCAGAGTTTACATCGGAGTAATTAAACTCAAAATTATCATCCCAAAATCCGAAGTATGTACACAGTTTATATGCTTATTAAAAGTATTATGTATTATGCTAACCAAAGTCACTTAGCTAACCATTGCTAACACACAAGTTGGTTGCTGGGGAATAACTAACATCGACACGCTGTTACCGTTAAATTACCGTTTATTAAATAATACAACGGAAGGTGCATTTAGCTAACACTTATAATAATTTAGTTGTTAATAATTAAGAGGCTCAACATCCAACCTTCAACAACTCGGTCCTGCAGTTTAAATGCACCCAAACAGCGTAACATGCTAGCGGCTGTGTTGACTGTTGTTGGCCAGAAATATCTTTTCCCTGCGTGAGCTAGTTCAGTCACAGTTTCTTAAATTCATTAACATGTTTTAAAACAGCCACGGGGTGGGAAAAAAAAGTCTAATTAAATAAACAATATCAATAATTTGATTTAGCATTATGGAGGTCACCAGTATGTATTTAATATGCATGCACCTTAGTTATTAACCCTTCTGCAGCTCTCCAAAGTTATAACTAGTATTTTATTATACGTTTTTTATTGTCTGATTTAAAAAAAACATTTATAGTTAATTGAATGTGTTTCTCTGTAACGGGCTCTTTCATATATACATTTACAGTGAATGCACATGATAATTGAGATGTTCTGTACTCACATTTAACTGCAGATCAATCTCTTCATTAGTACCTCTACTTTTTGCACCTGTTAGGTGTGTAGGAGAAGATTGTGATGTGTTTTAGGCTAATTCACTACGGCTTTAGCTATAATTACACTAACTTATTGAAGAACAATAGAAAACACATGGGTAGTATCTGTATTTAGGGCCTATAGGCCTTTATCACAGTAGAAATCTTGAAAGAAAACAATATCTTGCAAACAAAATAGAATAGAGCATTCAATTGACGTTGAAGATATAAAACCAGGTCAAAGTTCATTTCAAAACAGTGACGTGATGTGAGTCTCAAACCTTCTGGTAGTTTGTCATTGTGGTTGTCTTAATCCTGCCTGTAACTTTCTTTTTATTGCTCTGCACAGGCTGATGGCCAGTCTAGCTCCTACCATCCCATCTGCTCTCGCCTCATTTCTTTCCTCGTTCTTCCCCGCGGCTTCGCTGTGGGGCCATCACGGCTCTGCGAGGGCATGCTGGGGCTGTGGTGGGTTGGCCGCTCGCTGGAGGCTGGATCCCTGCTGGGGAGGGATGGGGACACAGAGTGGGCCTTGAAGGATCACACTAACCCGATGACTCAAAGCCGAGATGGTGAACTCACAATGAACTCTGAGTCCAAAACAGCTCAGACCAACAGCACAGAGGCAGAAAAGGTAAATTGAGTTCACAGTTTTAAATGACAAACATGAATACAGCTTTGATCACTATTTAGATGAAGATTTTGAAGAACAAAACATTATTTCATTCAGAAAGGAGCTTGAAATTACATGTTTAGTAGTAGATACATAGTTTTGTACCTAGTTCACATCTTTTTAGTCATGCAAAAGGAAATTAAAAGTACTCATTGCACATGAGGTAAATACAATTTTGAACCTGTTGCGCCTAATTTCTGGGCCAGAGGGTGTGATGTGAGCGTTGCAGCTAGGGGCACCATAGCATGAAACAACAAGAGAAAGCTGTTTGGGTTCACTTCTGTTTAAAACAACCACAGCTGACGAGTTGACGAAGCTCTATCTGAACAGATATGACTGTAAACTGTGTGCCTCTGCGTATTTATGACACTTTGTCTCTTCTTTCGGACAAAAATGCAATTGAAAACATATACTGTGGTCACAGAAATGCTCTGATTAGCTTTATATCACCCCCTTGATGGATGCTTTTTTTTTATCTCCAAGACAGTGCGCA